TATGTCATTTTGTCACATAGTACCTTGGTTTTATTACGTTGTATTAATTTATTCTACCCAGGGATTGCTTATCCCGTTGAATTTGAGAAAAGCCTAAATTCCCCAAGCCGACTAAAGAAACGAGGAGGAGAAGCCCATCCGTCCCAAAGTATTGACAAACTCTTTTGGGTCAAGGCTACTGAAAAGTCAAAGAAAGCAATCTGGGCCGACCCGACTCTTATCCCCTTCGACCCCCTGCGGTTCGTCTCCCACTTTTTCTGGAAAAGAACAGACAACTAAATAAGAAAATTTTAATCCAGAAAAAGATTTTATCTTTGAAAAGATAAAACAAATTATAGAAACCCTGTTAACAAAAAGTGAAAAAGAACAAGAAAAAGAAACGTTTCTCTATCCCGCGCAACCTCTGACAAATTCGTTCCGTTGCGGTTCTCTCAAATGCAGTTCCCTGTTCTCGGTCTCGATTGATTCCCCAATCTTCCCATCTCGATTTTGATAGCCCTAGGCCCTAGGCGACTGGCCCTGGCTGACCCGACTCGAACTACCGATGGAAGAGGAAAAAAGTACCAGCGCCGGCGGCGTTGGCGGCGGCGAACCGTCGAAGGTCTTGCCGAAGTTGGTTACAGCGGGTGACCGGCAATTATTCACTGTTGAACTTCGACCAGAGCAGACCACGTATGTCTCCTGGAGGAAGCTCACAAAAGACGCTAACAAGGTAAATGGATCTACCTCCGTGCCCGAGCCGCCTCCCAACGCGCACCCTAACCTCGAGTCTCGCCTCGCTCCCGTAAGTACTCCTCTAAATCAGTATACTTGTATGTCATTATGGGCAGGTGTATGAATAGGTGCGGACACTGTTTTGGTTTTATGGAAGTAATTGTAGTTTGATTGGCATTCTATAGCCCTAATTAGGTTTATATGATCGTTTTCTTTAGTTTTTTTTTTACAAAAAAATGATTTTGATCAGTTTTGTTCCGTCGTTCGCTGAGGAACATTGGAGAGTTTGAGTTTAATTATTTTGGAGATGACTGTTAATCAATATTATTTATTTTGTTAGTTTTGTACTTGGGATATTACAACAGACTTATGATCATAAAAGGAACGTTAATTGGCTGACTGAGTTTTTTTAAAGAGCTGATATTGAATGGATAAACGTGCTTGTTGACTGCTTACGTACAAGTATGATCATTGATGCTCCGCAATTGCCAGTATTTTTTGCTTTTTTTACTAACTGAGTTCTTTAAATTACATTGTGTTGAGTGGTTAATGCTTGCTTGCCCATAATCAGGGACATCCATCTGAAATGGTTGTGAAAGACGAACCTCCTGCTAATCGTTTCAGTGCAGTTATTGAGAAGATTGAACGTCTTTACATGGTATATTGTGCTTTGCTTCACATTCATGTTCTCAATCGTTACTAGCAAGCACAGGCAACTCTTTCGACTTTTATTTTGGACATGCGCATGTTAACATATAGTGTCTGGACTAAGATATGCTAACGATAGAATACTTCTTCTCAGGGTAAAGATAGTAGTGACGAGGAAGAATTGGATAATGCTCCTGATGATGATCAGTACGACACAGAAGATTCTTTTATTGACGATGCCGAGCTGGTTATTACATACATATTTTTTTTGTTTTTAAATTTTCTGCATGCTGTTACCTCTGAGGTTGCATTCAAAAGTTTTATTCTGGCTTGGAGATCATCGCTTTTTCATTTCATGATGTTCCTTTGTTATCCTTTGTGCAGGATGAATATTTTGAAGTTGATAATTCTGCAGTAAAACATGAAGGGTTTTTTGTCAATAGAGGAAAATTGGAGCGGATGTGAGTTACTATACGTTCTAATAGTTCATTTTGCTGCACAAATTACTTCCTTTTATTACATATCCGCTTCTTTCTACTTGCTTCTATTTATAACTTATCAATTTGTAGCTTTTATGTCATAGGACCATTAACCTATGACAAGTTAGGTCAACTGATTTTTTAATCTCTAATATGAATTTGAAGACCTCAAAATGAAATGTCTTGCATTTGGTGCTTTCCTTTCGCTGGTATTTTAATACTTCAGAGGTTACAGGGAACTACAGAATCGTACTATTAGGACATAGGGCACTACTTTTCATTCAAAAAAAAAAAACCTATTAGGACATAGGGGAACTAAGGTTTACGATTGCATCTAGGCTGGCAATAAATTTGTTAGTGATAATATTTAAGGGAAATAGTTGATGACTTGAGGAAGACTTGGTGATGTATCTGAGCATACTTGAAATGCAGAATCTAATGAACATATGAAGGAGTTGTCCTCCTGCAGGGTTTTCATCATATCCTGACACGTAAAGCTTCCTCAATCAGAGTAATTTTCAACCTTTCAGCTCTTAAATGACAGATCTCTTGATAAAATAAATAGTGATGTTGTAATCAGCCTGTTAGACATTTCTAAGCAGATGCTGTTTACAGTTAATCTTGGTGCGTTGTTTCATAACTCTTCTATTTCTGCCCTGCCAGATTTCCTGTAGTTGAGAATATTTGACCCTGTATTTTTTGCGATCAAGTTATACAGCCATGCTAAAGCTTGTTAAGTTGGACAATTTCAGAAAATGTAGGATTTGAAGAAGAGATTTATGGGGATATTGGTTGAGTTAGTTATGCAAAGGCTTCGTTTGAGGGGAAAAATTGTTTTTTTTTTTCTGAAGAATATATTT